GGGGGAGCAGCGGCGGGTCCAGCACCGCTGGGGGCCTGCCCGCCTGGCTGAGGGACCTGGGAGAGGTGGGGGTTCACTTGGCACCTCGGAGGTTGAGAGGTGGGGTCTTACACCGACTCTTTCCTAGTGCCTTGACTCAGCTTTTATTGCTTTCACAGATCCACCTCCGACCCTTAAGCCAGAGACTCAGGTGAGGTTTCCCATTCTTTTGCAGCCCAGTATTACTGCAGGATCCCCTGCTCCTTCTCTCTCCCTCTCCCACTTTTTCCAGATTTCTCACTCCAGGGACTATGCTTTTGGGAATGTCCCTCGTAAACTCTATGTGCTACATGTTTTTTTCCTTTCAGCCACCAGAGAAACGACGGAGAACAATTGAGGATTTCAACAAATTCTGCAGTTTTGTTTTGGCCTATGCTGGTTACATCCCCCCTAGCAAGGAGGTAGGGACAGGAGGACAACTGACTGGAGGGTGGTGTCCTAGGGCTGTAGAGGGGCTCTTGAGCTTATGAGACTGTATTACTTTGTAGGCAAAGCCTAGAAATTATATGTAAGACTAGGGAAGTGGAAATTTTGGTTGGGAAAACTAGTATCTGGAGTGAGGGTGGGACTAATAGATAGGTGGTTTGAGTGCAGTGAATGGTTTTGGGGTGCTCTAAATGGAAGGTGCTTTTGGATAAAAACTTTAGGAACTGAAAATGGTAACAAATGAGGCTGTTCAGAAAGAGCTAGAGAAATATGGCTCTGGTCTGGGGGATGCTGTGTTGTGAAGGCAGTGGGCATTGGGGAGATGGTTAGAATTTGAGGTCAGGGGTAACACGGAAGTGTTCAAGAGGAGATGCTGATGGGAATTGGGGTGGGGATAAGTTTTCTGAACACAGTAAGATTTAGTGGTTTTGGCTGGATATTTTGGTCTTTTAAGTTGGGTTTGTATAGGGGCTGAGATGACCCTGGGCCCCTTGCTGATCCTGGTCTCTTCTCCCCTTTAAGGAAAATGACTGGCCAGCCTCCGGCTCCAGCTCTCCATTGCGAGGTGAGAGTGCGGCAGACAGCGATGGCTGGGACTCAGCCCCCTCAGATCTCAGAACCATCCAGACCTTTGTTAAGAAAGCAAAGTCATCCAAGAGAAGGGCAGCTCAAGCAGGTCCCACCCAGCCAGGACCCCCAAGGTCCACTTTCCCTCATCTGCAGGCCCCTGACAGTGCCACCCTGCTTGAGAAGATGAAGCTCAAGGACTCTCTCTTTGATCTAGATGGGCCCAAAATGGCATCTCCACTGTCCCCCACATCCCTGACACATGCCTCCCGGCCCCCTGCTGCTCTCACCCCAGTGCCCCTTTCCCAGGGGGACCTCTCCCAGCCTCCTCGAAAGAAGGACCGAAAGAACCGAAAGTTGGGGCCAGGAGGGGGGACAGGCTTTGGGGTGCTTCGGAGGCCTCGGCCAGCCCCTGGGGATGGGGAAAAGAGGTCTCGAATCAAGAAGAGCAAGAAGCGGAAGTTGAAAAAGGCAGAGCGGGGGGATAGACTCCCACCTCCTGGGCCTCCCCGGGCACCCCCCAGCGATACAGACTCTGAAGAGGAGGAGGAGGAAGAAGAGGAGGAGGAGGAGGAAGAGATGGCAGCAGTGGTAGGAGGGGAAGCCCCAGCCCCTGTGCTGCCAACACCTCCTGAGGCTCCTAGGCCCCCTGCCACAGTGCACCCTGAAGGAGTCCCTCCCACTGACAGTGAAAGCAAGGACGTGGGCAGCACTGAAACAAGCCAAGATGGAGATGCTAGCTCCAGTGAAGGCGAGATGCGGGTCATGGATGAGGACATCATGGTAGAATCAGGTGAGAAGTTTGGGGCTGCCCAGGGGTAGCTGGGTTGATGGGTTTGGGGGTATTGTGGATCTAAGAGCTCCAACAGAACACCAAACAAACCTTCTTTTCCCCAGGTGATGACTCATGGGATCTGATCACGTGTTACTGCCGAAAGCCCTTTGCAGGCCGGCCCATGATTGAGTGCAGCCTGTGTGGAACGTGGATCCACCTCTCCTGTGCTAAGATTAAGAAGACCAATGTCCCTGATTTCTTTTACTGCCAGAAATGCAAGGAACTGCGGCCAGAGGCCCGGCGGTTAGCGGGGCCTCCGAAATCTGGAGAGCCCTGACATATGCCATCTCTAGGCTGGAACTTCGAATGGCAACATGACTTGGGAACTGAGCCTCAGGGTCATCAGCCTGTCCCCTGAGCTGGGATGTTGTCCCACTTCAAGGCAGAAATTCCCAAGGGAGGCTGGTTTGGAAATGAGTGATGTTCCTATCCTACCCTTCCTTCCCACATCTTGTGGACTTGAACTCGGACCTATTGCAGTTGGGGGTGGGAAGCTGTCTGGGTCCCTAGACACTTAAGCTCTGTCCCTTGGACCTGCTACCGCTCACTTCCTGGGCCAGGGTTGGAATTGGGATGGAGTGGGACGGTTGTCTATAAAACTCTAGTGTAAATATAGCACTCCCCTCCCTCATCTTTTCTTTTATCTCACTCCCCATTTATTGTACACCGGTTGTATTTTTAATTTTGGACTTCACCTTTTGAGTATGGCAGCTCAGAGGTGGAGTACCAACCAGAGCTTGGCCGAGGGAGGAAGGAAAACAGAAAGGTGACGATGCTCTCACTCACCTCTTTTGTTTTTAATAATATTGGCCAGCTGTTTGTACAGACAGCCTTCGTGTTGTAAATAAAGCAGAGTGGGCTCTTTTGTGTTTATAGCCCTCACTCACTGTCCTGCTTGGGAGGGAGGCTTTGGAAAAGCTGGCTGGAGGTGGGGCTGAAACTCACCTCTCTTAAAAGTCCAAGCTGAGAATGGCCTGGCGCTGCGCCTTTTCCACCAACCCTAGGACCTCGATTGGCTTTGCCCCACCTCACCCCCCAGTCAGGGACCCCCCCCAACTCCCACCCTCACCTCCCACTTGCACGCTCCAGCGGACCATAGTTGCTTGAAACTCTCTCCCTCAGGGGGTAAAGCGGGGTGCCCCCTGAGGGCAGAGGCCAGCCGAGTCAGGGTAGTTGGAGGAGGCGGGTGGGGACACACTTGGGGGCGGAGCCGTAGAGGGTTGGGAGACTGCTGAAAGCGGCAATAATGTGACGAGGGCGCTAGGCGGAGCCGAGAGTCACGTGACCAGTGAGGGTCACGTGGTGGGGCGTTACGGGTAGAGCGGGGGTGGGCTAGTTCTAGTCACGTGACATGGGGAGAGGTAGGCGGGGCGCTGGAGAACCCTCGCGACGTCTGCGGCGGCGGCGCCGGAGCCCGCGGCTTTGGGTCGCGCCCCACGGCTCGTCCCACCCCCCCACCGTCACCCCGCTGAGCCTTGTCTTTTTCCCTTTTGCACCTTTCTTACGCTGGGTCGGTCGCGTTGCTCGCGCGTCGGCTCGTGGGAGTGCGCAGGCGCGGCGGGGGCGATCAGCCCCGCTGGGTGGGCGGCGGAGCCCGGGAGCGCGCGGGCGAGACCATGGCGGGCAGCGGCGTTGGGGGCGGTGGTGCCGGGGAGACGAAGGTGATTTACCACCTGGATGAAGAAGAGACTCCCTACCTGGTGAAGATCCCCGTCCCCGCCGAGCGCATCACCCTCGGCGATTTCAAGAGCGTCTTGCAGCGGCCCGCGGGCGCTAAGTACTTTTTCAAGTCTATGGATCAGGATTTCGGGTGAGCGCGAGGCCTAGACTAGGAACGACGGGGGCTGTGCTTTTGTGGGTTGGGTAGTTTTGAGGGTCATTGGTCTACTTTGGGACATGCTGGGATTTTCTGGGCTATAGTGGAGCACATCTTTACTATGCTCGTGTAGATTGGCTATCCCAGGACGGACAAGGTTATACTTAGACAGATTGAGGCGTGCGGAACTGTAGGAGGACAGACTGGGATATACTAAACCAGATTATAGAAGATTAGGCTATACTGGAATAGAGTGGGGCACACTGGTTTATTTTTGGGTGTTCTGGTCTGTGCTGAGGTAGATTGATCTCTCCGCTGGTAACTACATTGTGAGTAGTTCTGTAGCACACAGGCTATGTAGGGATATTGTGGACTCTGCTGTTGTAGATTGGGCTATACTGGGCAGGCTTGGGATGTTCTGTCCTATACTAAGGCAGACAGGATAGTTTGGGGACAGTTTAGTCCGTACTAATGCAGAGATTCTGTTGATATGCCATTCTGGTCTCCAGCGGGTTCTATTGATTGATCTTAGTTTCTCTGGGGCCTAGTTTTTATTGGGACACTCAATGCAAGGGCAGATGGGGCTGACGGGGTCTGTACCAATACAGCTGGTACAGTCAGCTGTATTGGGATATTCTAGTCTATATTGGTGTAGACAGCTGCACGTGGTAGAATAGATTGGGCTACCCTGGGGTAATTTGGGACAGCCTGGGCAAGACCGGGACTTTAAATAATGCAGAGTAGGCCCTTTTATGTTTATAGCCTTTGGGACTGTGCTCTCTTGGTCCTCAGTCTCAGCTCTTGAAGGGAGGCTGGATCAGGCTGGGATTGCCTGGGTTATAGGAAAGCTGAACAGACTGGGCTCTACCTAGAAACACTGTTGGACGTTGGGAAGGTGGTACTGTCTTGGGAGTTACCTTGGATTTCAATGTTCTATTTGTCAGCACTATAATCTGGGGTAGTTTATTCAACTTTTGTGCTTTGATTTCATCTGTGAAATGGAGTTAACCAGAGTAAGATGCTTAGTACACGTGCGTGGTATGTTCTTGGTGTGTGGTCATTGCCTTTATTAGCATTGAGTCTAATTCTTAAACTAGGTTATGATAATACAGGATAGAATCACTTGGAAGGCTGGGCTATGCTGAGACTGGGTTATGTTGTGAAGAATACAACGTTATGCTGAGACAGATTGGTAGTGACTGGGCTGTGTTGTTACATTGATAATAGGTGGGATTGAGTTGACATATATCCACATTCTTAGAACCATATTAGGCTAAAGGGTTAATCCGACCAGATATCCCAGTTTGGGGGTGAGTGTGTGTGAGAGTCTGTTCAGGGCAGAGTGTGTCATAGTTTATATGTTTATTAGTTTAGCCAACAGGTATTTGTTAATGCTTACGAAGTGTCAGGTACTTTGGTCTGTGGCCGGGGACGTGGTGTTGAACAAAACAGGCATTAATGATTTCACTTGGTGATTGAAAAGAAGGTCCGTTGAAGGAACCCATGGGAGAGGTGACCCCCAGGACTGGGCTTTAGGGTCTGTCAGGAGGAGCAGATTGCTTAGTGCAGAGTCTGTGCCAGGTGAGGCACAGGAGAGTGGGGATCTGGGCTTCACCTCTGCTTGGGAGCGCAGTGTAGTGAGAAAGTACTATTCTTTGGTTTAATGGGTATTTTTATCTAGGGGAAGACAGCACATGTGGACGTCTCTCTGGAAGTGAGTTAGAGAAAACTAAGGAAAGCATAAAAGTAGAGATGTAGATGAGGACCAAAGCCTTTGGGGAAAGTTGTGTGAGGAATACGGTGGAAGTTGGAGGGAGGCTGCCTGCAAGGCTCCTAAGGTTAGATATTTGGGGCAGCTGGGGCAACCTTACGGGAAGCCTTTGAAATTGGACTGAGAGGTTTGAATCAGACTCTAGGAAATCTCTGGAACAGCGCTGAGCCCCTGAGGATGAGCTGGGGAGAGAAGGAGAAATAAGGAAAGGGAATTGAGTTTGGTGATTTCTTAGGTGTAAGTGTTACAGCGTCAGAGAAGGGGACTTGGACTAGGTTGGCGAAAAGCAACATCCTTGAGCTGGATGAAGATTGGGAGAAACTTCGAATGTGGGTGGGAATGGGGGAAGCCAGTCCAGTCTCACTGACCTTTATCTTGTCTCTTGGCAGGGTGGTGAAGGAAGAGATTTCAGATGACAATGCTCGCCTTCCCTGCTTCAACGGAAGGGTAGTATCCTGGGTAAGGGGCCCTGCCGGAGAGTCCCTCTGGCATTGCCAAGCTCCTCCAAGCCTCAGCCTGTGCCCGCCCCCTCTCAGTTGCTGGAAGCTCTGGCTCTTTACCTCCTTACCTGTTTGTTTCTTTGTTTGTTTTTGGCCATGCTCTGTGTGGCCTTCCCGACAGGGATTGAACCTGGACCTGCCAGTGATAGCGCCGAGTCCTAACCACTGTACTGCCAGGGAACTCCCATCCTCCTTACCTGTTTGGAGAGCCAGCCAGCTGGAGCTCCTCAGCCTTCTCCTTCTGGAGCCTCTAATGCTTGCTGCTGCTTTTTTTGTGCTTTTCTCCGGGCTCTCAGGCGCCGTCCCCTTTTCTACTTTTTCCTCTTACTCTCATTTCATATGCCTCTCATATTCCTCATTGAGCCGTTTTCTTTTGTTGTTGTTCTTTTCAAATCACTTGCATCCTTCTAGTTAGTGTCATCAGATAACCCCCAACCTGAGATGGCCCCCCCAGCCCACGAGCCTCGGACAGACCCGGTGCCTCCACCGCCACCTGTACCCCCTCTGCCACCGGAGAGGACCAGTGGCATTGGAGACTCCAGGCCTCCATCCTTCCAGTGAGTCCTTGGGATTCCTGAGTCCAGGGGAGGGAGGTGAGGAGGGAATCCAAGCCCCTTGGGAGGGGAAGCCAACGATTAGGAGCCTTGTCCCACTGACGCAGGTGGGAAACTCTCTCTGCCCATCTAGCCCTAACGTGTCCAGCAGCCGGGAAAATCTGGAGCCCGAGACAGAAACAGAGTCAGTGGTGTCTCTGAGGCGGGAGCGACCTCGCAGGCGAGACAGCAGTGAGCGTGGCGGTGAGGGGGGCCAGGCCTGGAGGCCGGCTAGACCGGGAGCTGGGGAGGGGTCGGCTCCGACCCAAAGCCCTGACAAGGGTGAGGAGCCCGAGTCCTGGTTCCTGAGGTTCCTGTTCTCCCTCAGCGGGGGGCCACCGGCCCAGCGGCCCCTCGAGGCTGGAGCGCCACCTGGCAGGGTATGAGAGCTCCTCCACCCTCATGACCAGTGAGCTGGAGAGCACCAGCCTGGGGGACTCGGACGAGGAGGACACCATGAGCAGGTGGGGCTCTGTAGGCCTCCCCGGGGCGCCCCCCCGCCGCCACCCCATCCTCTCCTTTGGCCCCGCGACCACCGCCCGGCCAGC